AGACTCTGATCTAGAATCATCTCTGGCTGAAGACCAGCCGTGGTCTCCCTTCTGTCTCTAGGATGTAAAATCTTGAGGTGTCTGACATCTGCTGCAGTGAACTTTAGTTTTGAACCAGTCTGAGCAGGTAACTCCAGATCATACCTGAGCCCACTGTGAGAACACTTTCTGTCTTTCCCTGTTCGCCTCAGAGACCGTCCAGCATCACGGAGAGCTTTAATGTGACTCTTTCCTTTCAGTGAGCTCTCCATGCTTTTCCATTCTGAACAGGGATGTCAGGGTTACGGTTTTTAGACGTAAATCTGAGCCACTGGGCTTCTCTGAGAAGTCAGGAATGAATAAAGCACCACATTCAACCATAAAACTAATGTTTCTGCTCAGGAATGTGAGTTAATAACTATAATCTGACGTCTTCATCAAGGAATCATGATGTGTGGACTATTTTTCTGTTTTTTTGTAAAACAGTAAATTTAAAAATTCATGGACACCAGTAATAATAATAATTATATTTTAGCATTAATGATGTCACTTGGGTTGTATTAACCATTACAGAAACATGAAACGTGATGCTGGTGATTACCAGTGCTGTTCATGTAGAGCAGCTGTGGCCTAAACCTGACACTGGGTGGCGCTCTAATGAACGTGTTGAGCTCTGTACATGTATGACATTTATTCACCATGTGATCTCTGTAGAAACGTGCTGAACAGTCATCCTGCCAGTGTTATCGTGTGGTGAGCATTTTATGAACAGAAACGTTGAGTGGTTTCCAGCTGGGGTGTGAGCTGGTTGTGGCAGGACACCAGAAGAGGCACAACGATGCCACAGGTCTTTAGCGTCCTGCAGTGTGATGGTGGTGTTGGTTTCCCTCAGAGCTCATTACCTCTGTGCACACCTGAGAACAAGTTAGAGGAAGACCAGACAGCATTTTAGTCTCTGTAGCACAAGTCAAGTATAAATGGCATTACTACCAGCAGCAGGACATGTAGTCTGATGTTTGTTTGTTTGTCTTCAGTGACTGCCTCTTTCTGTAAAGCATGAAAATCAACTTGCAGTCACTTGAATCTTACCAATGTTAAAAAAATCCCTCTGATGATCTCATGCAAGTGGAAAAAATGAAACAGCAAAGTGCACATCACTGGTAGCCTCTGAGCTGAAGCACCGACACCATCGGTTTGATCTGGCACATGAGCTCCTGGTCCAACAACATGCCATCAGATATAAAACACAAAGCATGTGGGAAGCATGACAGACAGTAAGTAAGTATGGCAGTTGTTTTACACTTTGTGCTGCTGCTGCATCCTGATTTAACGAAGGACAGACGGCCATGTGGCTGTATGTGACAATACAACACAGCTAGCATTCATAGCCTTGTCCTCTACAGTCCACTGGGTGTGATCAGTCCAGTCCTAGTCCTCCCCTGGTCGGAGGTCCACAGCCTGTAGCAGACTGCTGGTGAGTCCTGAGGTTGCAGATCCAAGCAAACCTCTTCCCACACTGGTCGCAGCTGAAGGGCTTCTCCCCAGTATGAACCCTCTGGTGCTTCTTCAGGTTACCAGCTTCTGAGAAACGTTTGCCGCAGGTGTCACAGCAGAAAGGTTTCTCCCCGGTGTGGACTCTCTCATGCGCCTCCAGGTTGGACAGGCCAGAGAACGCCTTGCCGCATGCTCGGCACACGTAGCTCCTCCTGCGGCGCTCGCCAGGCGCTGAGCTGGCCGGCTGGCTTTTACTGTGGCGAGCTACAACGCTGGCTCGATGATGCGCACTGATGGCCACGTCAAAGGCAGCCAGTGCTGCTGTGGATCCCCGGACAGGTAAAGAGGACTGTGGAGTTACAGTGCACCTCATGTTCTTAATGGCTGGGTTGATACCAGAGACACTCGCTGCATCACTACGATTACTGTTACTGAGCGCCGCGGCGCCGGAGGACCGTGGGCTCTGTGCAGAGGGAATGCTGTGCTGCTGCTGCTGAGAGATCCTGTTGCCGTCACGGCGCTGCTGCAGCAGCTGAGCCTGTGCACTTCTTATTATGGCTGGAGGTCTGCTCCATGGAGGCTGGGAGGATGGAGCCTGCATCCTCAGACGCGTGGAAACACAAGTCCCTGAAACAGAGGAAACAAGAGTCTGATCAGACTTCACTTCCATTCCAGTGAGTTGTAGACTTACTCATGCTTCATGTGTTTCCACGGGTGCTTTAGAAAAAAGCTTCATGTTTTTGGGGAGAGTCAACAAGGGAAGCAGCGTGTGAAACTGCTTCACAAGCATCAGGACAGCACGGTACGGTGGCCGGGAGGCGCAAAGCAAATGTACAAGTGGTGAAACACTTTAACAAGTAAAATCAACCGCAAAGGGAACGTACTGACTCTGGGATTGGACCGGTGACGGGGAGCGGCCAATCAGAGCTGCTGTTGTCATTTATGGAGTTCATGGTGACCCAAGATGGACAGCGACAGAGGGACGTTTAGCCCGTTTAGTGACACACATGAGCCGATGAATGCGATTACAATCCGGCTTCATTCAGTTTGCTTTTCAGAGACCTCAGGCTGATGTGAACATCACGTGTGTGTCCCTCATTAAAACATCTGCTGCAGCACATCTGGTCCTCCCGTCTGGTCCACGCCCCCTAAAAATTCTGAAGACCGACCACACGACAAACAAAACCGCGTTAATCGGCTCATGTGTGCCACAAAACGGGCTAAACATCCCTCTGTCGCTGTCCATCTTGGGTCACCATGAACTCCATAAATGACAACAGCAGCTCTGATTGGCCGCTCCCCGTCACCGGTCCAATCCCAGAGTCGCTACGTTCCCTTTGCGGTTGATTTTACTTGTACATTAGTTTTGTGCTTCCCGGCCACCGTAGCACCGCCCAGCAAAACAAAACCACAGCAGCTGCATATCTGGTCACCATGGACCTGAATTTCTGCAAAAGTAAAAGATGGACAGGAAGAGCAGCGCATGAAGCCCGTGTGAAGACCAGAAGACGTGTGCTACCTTGTGATGCAGAGCCAGACGCAGAGGAGGAGTTCTGCCCCCCAGTCAGCCGTGCTGCTGACGACGCCGTGGTGTGTGGAGGCTGAAGCGCCGGCCGACACTGGGACTGGGTCTCAACGATGATGATCCCATCCTGGTCACATTCTGCTGACTCGTCACTGGTGAAAGCACATGACTGACCATTAGGAGCTGATGCAGGGTCATTGTCAGGGGCCCAGCGGGTGAAGAAGGTCTCCAGTTCAAACAGGGAGTATTCAGAGCTCAGAGGATTGCTGTTGCTGCATCTCTGCTGCTGCTGCTGCTGGTCTGTGGCGGGGCTGGCGGGCCGGTTGGTGTCAGGGACCTTCTGCTGACCTGCCGCTATGCTGCTCGAGTCCTGGGATCCCAACGCATTGAGCTGAGTAGCAGAGGAGAGATCAGGTTTTAACAACATGTAGAGAACATGCGAACTCTGCGCTTCCTGGCAGAGCATCATGCATGAGAAGTTAAGACTGTGTGTCTACAAATAACTGCTGACATCCAGAAATATATCACCCCACAAATTCATGAAAAAGTCCACGTTAAGGTCCAGATGAGATGTAATGGCACCACACTGGCAATGGGAGGTGGTCCTGGGCCTGTTCACACCCTGCTGTTGAGTAGAAGGGTCATGGTGGACTCTAGAGGAGCTCAGTTCACTCACAGGTAGCGCTTATGTGTGAACTGATCAAACGGTTCTGTGTCTCCGACTCACCTGGTAAGTTGAGTCCTTTCAAAAACAACTATCACCAAAACTTACATTTCAGGTATCAAAGGAATGTAAGGAAAGCCGGCAGAGACACACCACACCTTGGTCCTCCTCCTGCCCACTGATGTCCTCACAGCTTCACATGAGAGCTCTACATCTACCATCCAGGTTGTACCTACGGTCACCAGCTTTAAGTAGAGACCAGAAGAAGGAAGTCATGAGGACAAGCAGCTGAAACATGTTCTCCCCATAGAGCCACATCACGTACAACCCATGCCAGGACCCAACCCGAACCACAGTGATGGACGCTTCTCTTCCACAGTTAGTGAAACCTGTCAGTGAAGCCAGTGTGAGTCAGCTCAGATCACGCTGTGGCTGCATTTCTCTGAGCTTTCTGCAGGACGTCAGATCTTCCATCACCGTTCTGACAGTCACTAGACTCCCGAACAGAGCAGCATTTACAGCAACAACCAACCAGCAGCAGTCTCAGCTGTCACAGCTGCATCTGAATGACTGATGTTTGTTGTTTTCTTCTGTCTCGACATGTTTGAGAATTTAGTTCATGTAAATATTGCTTTGGACAGCAATGCTTTAGCGGCGTGGTGGGAAGGATTTACAGGTTTAGAGTTAAGCGGTTCCTTTGATGAATACAGTCTGTCAGCATGCCGTCCGGTTTCTCTGACTAACATCTATCTGCAGACAGCCGCCTGTGAAGGTCTGGCTGAAGCCTCACATCCACACAAGGTTTGTCCTCAGTGTGGCGCTACAGCTGGCCTCCTGGGTCTGTGGTTCCTAAACACAGCAGGATCATTCTGTCATAAGTGTGCTTCAGAAATGTGATATAGTCTCATTGAACTAACCAACATATAGACTTTCAGTGCATTTATATAACACATCCCATGGTATTCACACGGTGAGGTGGAGACCAGATCTTTACTAATGAGACCACTTCAATGAGATTTGCTGACAATATTGTGTCACAATTTTGTATGATTTAAAATAAAAACAATAGTTCACATGTTAGTTTTGTAGAGTTTTAATGACTTTAGACATCGAGCAGGATTTTACAAAACTGTGACACAATAGAAAACGCGTGTGTTATACGTACAGCACCAGTCATTAGTCTGAACACAGCAGTTAATCCAAGGCTTTCCTTATTTCTACTGTTTTCTACCAGCTCGGTCTAACGCAGCTCTCTGGTCTAATGGCCTTACAGAGGTGGAGGAGTGCTCTGGCTCGTTGTCCTGTTGAAGAACAAGTGATGGCTGCTCTAAGCTCAGACCAGATGGATGGTGTACCTGAAAAATGCTGCACCTTGAATTCAGAAAAACTCTCCAACAGGTTCACCAGCCAAGCCCTCCCACGCTACCACAGCTCCTCCTACATACACAGAACATCTGTTCACCTGATCTGCATCTCCCAGACAGCAGCTGGAACCAAAGATCTCACATGTGGACTCATCAGACCATCAGTCTGTGTTTCTTCAGGCAGTTGTTGTGAGAGTAAGTCTGATGATTCTGACACAGCACTTGAGAAAACTTTAAAAGTTCTTGAGACTTCCTAGACCGACTGACCTCCATGTCTTAATGAAGTAATTATACTAATTATAAACCGATGTTCTCTTTACTTTCCTGAGTAGTTCTACTGCTCCTAGTACAGCCGTTGGATCGGGCTGTTAGCTCAGGACCACACAGCTGATGGGTCCATGAAGACCTGTAACGACCTCGATAAGCTGCTGAAGGTGCTGGTAGGCAAAGCTGTCATCAAGGCTAACAGTGGCTACATGAAGGAGGCTAAAACACCAACAAGCTTCTGCTTTGTTTCTTTCACTACATCTTTGCATGTGTATGATTTTTAATAGCCTTGATGTCTGATACTGTAGAAAGGTTCAAAGGATCAACCAGGTGTCCAAACTTCTTGTATTTTGCATAACAGTCACAGTTTAATGACAGATTCCCAACACAGGATCTCTCTCTGTTTATAT